GGCTCACAGGTGAATGCGTTGCATGTCACGAGGGTAGTCGCTACCTGGACGTAATAAAAGTAATGGACGCCAGGAAACAGGGATTTTCAGGTGGCTCATGCAGGACGCATCAGGATGGCAATATTCACCACCTTCGTTCTTACTCATGGCTTTCTTGATTTTGTGGGGGGGGGGGGGGGGGGGGGGGGAAACACCATCACTTATTTTGTGATTGGGGGGGGTGTGGTGAGAGGGGCTGAAAGAATCAGTGGACCTATATATATTAATAATATCAAATGCTGTTGCTATATAAATATTGAGCATGCACATTCTCAACAAAATCATAGAATTGAAAATATCGCGGTTCATACGGTGGAAATACAGAGCATTTTAGTCTAAAAACGTAGCTATGGAACAGGGAAGCAAAAAGAGAACAAATCTGGGAGGATAAAAAAAAAAGGAACAATTGGTCACTCACTCTATACCTGTGAGAACGCGTCACGAATGCTGCCGAGTAAGGCAGCAGACAAAGTTGAGCGGGACTGTCGGATTAGAGAAAAAGTAGAGGCGCAGAAAGTAAGAGTGGAAAGGGAGTGTGAAGACAACCATGACGTAAGCATGGGAGAGGGGGAATCCCTTCGCTATTTTTCACTCCTATCTTTTTGACATCCGGATCAGGCGCGAGGAATTCTCTTATGAATGCTTCAGTCTCCTTAATATATCAAGGATCGATGTTTCACAGCTGTGATCGAAAGAACATCGAACTCTAATACGTGAATAAGGAAGCCCCTTGTATTCTAGATTGTTCCTCGAAAGGCGGATCCCAGCCGTCTCGGCGTTGTTTCATCGACGAGTGTCTGAGTTCTCATGCCCTGGCTGAAGCTGTGTTTCGAACCTTCAGTCGTTCCTTCTTTGCCATCTATTTACCCCGTTCTGTGTCCACCGCCTGCAGTTCAATCGCGGACTCTGTGCATGGCACAGTGTATGTGCTTTGTGTAGCACTGTGCTGCAATGTGTTCTTCTGATTTACAACAGGTTCTTACGCAAATGAAATATTTCTCTCCTCGTGAATATTCTGGAACGTCTTGGTGGGTATAGGGTGGATTGCATAAAACGAACTTTACCGTAATGAAGCTTTAAACCTCCTTTAGCACCGCTAAAGGAGGTTTAAAGCTCTATTTCGCTAAAGTCCGTTTTATGCAATCCACCCATAGACCTCAATTGCATGTAGATGTTCCAGAAAAGTGCATCCGACAGTAGTCAGACTTCTAAGGTTTGTGGTGAATTGGATTTAGTCACGTGGATAAGAGGAGGGGGGGGGGGGTCCGACTGAACCCTCCTCCCACCGCCCTCCCCTCCCTCCCCCTTCCCTCACTTTGGTGAATTCTTGACGGCGCTACTGCTTCGATGATCGCTTGTTCAAATACATCAACTATGTAATACCTTCCGATGAGTATTGGATTAGACATTTTTCTCGACCAAGATGCGAATTAAGATTAAGGGATTCTGAAGCTTTATTCAATGGATTGCTAGGCAAGAGATGTTCTGCTTCAGAAACTATAAATTTCCTATTTGTTACTTTGCAGAATAAACGGACCGACGCGAGGCTAATAATAAACCTACTATTCCATAATTCATTACAAATGACTACAGGCAAACGGTGTCGTCGAAGATGCCGTACGTAATGTCTGCGCTCTCGTTTTTTCCATTATTCTGCTTGGCGTTCCAGTTTTGGAGCCAAGTGAAAGGGTGCAGTTCCGGACATGGCTTTGAAGTTATTAGACTCATTTCTTCCTTGTCCCGTTAATTCAGATGTCTGGCTTCGAGTCCTCGAGCATGACATAGAAGTGGGAGTCGCATAAGGCCTAAGGTTGTGTTACACGTTTGGGTGTATGTTAGCGTCTATTTGATACTTAACTTAAAAAGGTGGACAGGGGCGCACTAAGCAAAAAACAAGGAGACTTCGAATTGAAACGATTGGACAAGATCACCATTTCCCGTGCACTTCGTTTGATTATATGGATTTCAAGTGTAACAGCTCCCTCCAATCGCTCCACGAATAAGTTAAGGCCACGGGTCCTTTCTTGCATCTAAGGATCTTCAGTCATGTCTTTCTTCATGTTATGAAAAGGCAGAATTCCAATCTGCCTGGAAAAGAAATGAATAAGGTAATGCTAAAATCGAGTGTTCCTTGCACAAGTGCATTTGATTGCACAACATTGACTCATTATTATATATCGGAAATGAGACCTCCAGACTCATGAATCCTGAGTCATGGAAAACATAGCTTGCTGGTGTGGATGAAAGGAATTGGTATTTATGTAGGAGTAAGTCTGGACCTGGTAGTGCATAGAAAGTAGTGAGGAAGATATTGGTTACTGAAAGGCTTAGTAGTATTCTCTGAAGAGGATATGCATGAGAACTAGGCTATTTTAGTAGGGTAAGCATCACTTTCCTTTTTCTTTTAGTGGCACTAAGAAAGCTGAAGTATTTTTATCCATCCATTCTATGACCCCATCTTTTCTTGAGTAAGTTAAGGTACCATTTCACAGGCCAATACAACTGCTTACTTTTCAATTGAATCATAACACATGAAAGAGGTGTTCATGGGTTCCTAGAAAACATTACAGGAATTTGCTTACAGTCAGTATTTCCTGAGATAACTCTACATAATTGTTAATTGCATGACTAGAATACTCACCCTGCTATAAGTGTGCCATTTTAAATGATAAGAGCAGAGCGCAACGTCTGTCTTTGCCTCCATTCTAGCCCCATTCAGTGCAACCTCCATCCCTTCCACCCATAAGATTTTGTAATTTAATCAATTCCATAATTATTTCAGAGCTAGAGACTCAGACTAACATTTCACCAGCTTTTTTGGGTTTTCACTAAAGCCCTCACACACCACATAGAACTAAATATAAACATATACCAAGGGAGTCGTATTCCTTCTATGCTGGGCTGAAAGAGTGAGAAAGTCAACCTATTTTGAAGAATAATGGTTTAGCTGGGTTATAAAATAATCACAGCCAAAGGCTGCAACCCTTTTCTGACCCAACTGACCCATCATCCTCCAAAATAGGTTGACTCTCTCACTCCTTGGCCTTTGACACCAAACTGGTTGCTCACAACTGGACCTCTGGCCCAGTTATCATCTATATATATGCCTTCATTGAATACAGTGTGTAGGCCCTGTGGCAACATAGCGCTCTGCGCCTGTTCAGCTTGATCAAAATCTGTAGCACGTTACAGATGCCAGTACTCCTCCTACACCCATCATTGTGTAACACCGGTAGCTATTTACTTAAGCACATGACCATAGCATTTATATAAAACAAACATTTCTTTGAATATATCAAGTTTCATTGGCCTGGGAATTGCCCTTGAGTAACTTGGACAGGAGAAGCCACCACCACTTATAACTTCCATTGAGTTCCACTGAAAGTTCAAATTCTATATGGAAAGCAATGATGAAAAACTGGCAACTACTACCCTCATGGCTCATGCATGTGATTTGTTTTATTGAAATGAATTATACTAAGCTTGATTTTTCATGACTGCATAAAAAAAATGATACTCTTTTGTAGTTTACTGACTGACTGCTCTTATTTGAGTGCAGCTCTTATGCAGACATATGAATAATATTAATATTGCAGTACTCCCCTTGTTAGCAACTAGGGTGAAACAATATTTATTTTGAAACAGAATTGTGTATGGAAAGATTTTTTTTCATCTGGAGGAATTGAAAATATGGCATTGGACAATTCTACCAATTATCATTAAGTCCTCTTTCCACAATTTTTTTTACTGCATCACTATCTTACAGTCTTATTAATTGCCTGTTGTTGCCTTTGGAGTTCTTGAAAAATGAACATGACATTGCATGAAGTCAGGCAAAAATGGGAAGGTATTAAAAACCTCTTACACCTGCTCCAGGTCCATTTGGAATGTTATAAAAAAGTGATTCTAAGTTCTCTCCACTGAGCTGACATGGTGTCAATTTCACTATAAGCTAGATGGGAATATATGACTTGAATGAAGGTTTCAGGTTTACTTAGGCCTATTCTTGTTTTATCTCAATACAGAATGTGAAGGCCCAAAAGTTTGATTAGAATGTAAAAAAGCACTACTTGGAACTCATACTCAAGGGGACCTCAATGCCTATGAATGATTCACAGCATGCACAAGTTGCCTTAATCATATATAATTTATAAAGGTGTGAGACTCTTGTGAGATGGGGAAATTGCACATGCTTGTCGCCTGCCCATAACCTTCCATGTTGAAGGCATGCAGAAATATTAATGCATTTTGATTGAACCATTTTTATTTTTCTGCATTAAATAGTATATACCCCAAAGCCAAATATGGTTGAATGATGAATGCAGGACAAGTATGCGACAACTGCGCCTCTTTGAAACTCTATCAAACTCTGTAAGCCTGACTCAGATGCTAGGAAATGTCTGTGAGGAAAGGTCAAACCAGAAAGGTTAAGCAAGACTAGTCACTGCTCCATATCTATGAAAACCTAGCCTTAAGTACTGTTGTCTCTCTAGTAAGAGTGTGAAGTGAGACACTCAGATATTTATTGCATATCACCCTGTTCTTGACTCATTCATGTTATGCATTTATGAAGACAAGTCTTAAGCAGGTTATCTACTGTCTCATGAAAACTTGGAGAACCCTGAAAGGTTCATTCATTTTATTAGTTTGTATATCATGATACATAAAGCATCTTCATTCCCTTCAAGTCTGAAGCAAGGCTATGATAATGAATTTAGAAGAACTTCTAAGAGACTCTAAGGATTATAGAATAAGCAAGTGTGAATTTAATGGAAAATGCTCCAAGAAAAGCAAAGATTATAAGGTTGAGTTGGATGTCTTATTTTGATATTCCCTTTTTATTGAAGGTTTTTTTGTTTCATTTGTTTATTGACTCATGAGCCTAGGCTAAACCTTACCTTTGATCTACTTTTGGTTAAGTGTGAAGCCTTGAATTCTGATGATAGGAGTTTTCTTGCTTCAGATGCAGCAAATGTCAAGAGCAGTGGCATTTTGCATGGCTCTCTATTGAGCCAAAAGCTGACATGTCCGAATCTGCCGTATGGTGGACTATTATTCGGACTTCTTGATGTTTTATCATCTTCATCAAACAGCATTCTGTTTTGTGCTTCCTTTCATCTATTGACTGACAAGTGGAAGAGCCTGTCAAACTTTTCTTCTACATTGTGTTCCGTTAGCATGTTACATGAGACATGAGAAGAGTGAAGTTGGTCTCAATCCATGCCCTCCTGATATTTATAGCTGTTGCTAGTGTCCACAGAGCTGAAGCTGGTGAGTTAGATTTGCACATTGTGATGAGGCTTGGCAGACTGAGAAGAAAATTTAAAAAATTCAATGAGATCATAAATTTTAAAAGGTTTAGGAAGTTCATCTCCTGATGCATATGCTTGCCATCATATTCAGTTATTTTTCTGCATTTTTTTAATTACAAATTTTTATTGTAACATTCATTCATTTGTTGTAATTACAGAATTTTTATATTGTTTTTTTTTCTGATATTTTCCATTTTTCTTTTTGAAAAGGTCTTCGGCTCTCTGATACCATTGGATACTATGAGGTGCTCACCTATGACACCAACCCGGTACAAGAAGAACATGCAAGGGTACGGCGATCCCTCAGCACATACTCTCAGGTGATTGTGATTTTTTTTTTTTTTAGCACCGTGGATTCTTCATGGGCCTTGTTTAGTTCAATAGTGTAGAGTAATGGTTGTCTTTTTTTCTTGTTACCACATCAGGTAGCAATTAATTTTTGGAGCCACGGGAAGGAATTTCGCTTGCGTTTGAAACGAGACGTGGAAACCTTCTCACCTGGCTTCATCCTAGAAAACAGTGTTGGCTCTGATTCTGTCGACACAGCTCATCTCTTCTTTGGGCATTTGCATGGTAGGTTTCAATGAAATATCTACTGCCACAAAGCATCCATTTTGACATACAATTCCTGAAATTGAGCTTTCTTCTCTTTCCAGGGGTGCCTGGGTCCAGCGTTTATGGTTCCTTACATGATGGTGTCTTTGAGGGTAACATTGAGATGCCAGAAGGAACCTATTATGTGGAGCGGGCCAACCACTACTTCCCTCAGAACCAAAGACGTCATTTTGACTTTCACTCTGTGATATATTCAGAAAATGTGGTGGAAGAGCCCAAGTCCCCATCTAGGCAGCGTAAGTTGGCCACATTATGGTTGTAGTTCAGCTAATTTTCCCTGTGTAATTCATAGGGGATCACCTGTTATGGCTTCTAACATTGAAATTTGCTTTTGGCAAAGTTCAGTTGGGAAGTAGTATTCTTAAGATCTGTATCTTGCATATAGTAGCAGTGTTGCACTTTTTTTTCCCAGAAGCTGAATTTGGATCATGTGGGTTGAATGAAACCCGTGAGGAGTGGATGCATCAGATTCAGTCATCAATGGAAACTCCTCCCCAGACTGTTGAGGATGTGGACTGGGAGTCAGTTTGGGAACAAGAGAATCCAGCCCTCAAGTACTTGTCACGTGAAAAGAGGGCAAGCTTGGTCCGTGGGAAGCTTGCAACTTTCTCCCCACGTGGTGGAATAGGAAATGGCAACAATAATTCCACCTGCGAGCTCTTCATTCGCACCGACCCCATGCTCTACAAATATTACCTTGACCATGAAGTGAGAGTTGACCTGCATTATTTGTTTAATGTTAGCGCTTATGGGGCATTTTCATGCAAGTAATGCTTTTTTAATTTTAACATATGAGCCAGTGAGAGGACACTGGCTTAAAAAATTCAGTGGAAGCCTCTGCATTTTGTTATTTTTCAATTCCTTTTCTGTCCATCTTCTCTGTATTAATGCATTCTTCTGCAAAATGTTTTTCCTTTGCTGGTTTTGCATAATTTTGTCTGTGTAGACCATGTCTTTACAAATTCTTGATTCTCTTTTGCAGGATCTTCCAGAAGTTCGCGTGAAAGAAGAAATTGTCTCACTGGTGCAGCTGCTAGTAAAAGCCATCTCCCACATTTACTCAAATACAAGGTTCAATATGGGTCGCTTTAATCATTCTGGCATCACATTTACAGTGCAGCGATTGAGGGTATGTTAGTGTTGACTTATTTTTCTGTTTCCTCTTTCAACCGCAATAATTTTTGTTGTAAATCCTTTTTCAGGTGGACAATTACACTCAGGACTGTCGATATGGACACTCCCTGAATCCATTCTGCAACCCCAGTGTGGATGTGACCAGTTTTCTCACTCAATTCTCACAGGACAACCATGATGCCTTTTGCCTTGCCATCATGCTCACATTTAGGGATTTTGCAGATGGGACCCTGGGTCTAGCCTGGGTGGCCTCTCCTAATCGAGGTTAGATACATTCCCCATGTTAGATAAACTCAACCACATTGATTTGAATCATGTATTCAGCTCAGATTGATTGCAAGGTGTGTGTAGCACCTGTAATGGATGTGAAATGACTTCTCATGAGAGGTAAATTCTCATAATAGGCAACAAAGGTGGTGTGTGTGAACGTCGAGGTCGCATAGCAAACCAAAAGCAGGAGCTGAGCCTCAACACTGCTGTGGTGACATTCCTCAATTATGCATCTAAGGTAACCCCCAAAGTCTCCCAACTCACCCTGGCCCATGAAATTGGGCACAACTTTGGGGCAGCTGTAAGTGGATTTATTATGGACATTATATGCATGTCTGCACCAGCTTGGGGTATGAAAATACTAACTCTAATAATATTTTTCATCATTATTTCAGCATGATCCAGATAATGTGTTCAGTTGTGTCCCAGGCCAGCTTCAAGGAGGGAACTACATCATGTATCGACATGCAACCAAAGGGAACCTACCTAACAATCGAAAGTTCTCTGAGTGCTCCATCCGTAACATGTCACTTGTACTGGATGCCATCTACTTATCACTTCATGTAGAAAATGGGAAGTTCTACTGCTTTAAGGCTTCCAACCTCACCTTCTGTGGAAACCGCATAGTTGAGGAGGGTGAAGAGTGTGATTGTGGTTTTGATGATGATGAATGCCGCCATGATCCTTGCTGCTCTCCTCGAATCTCCAGCAATGGTGAGCAGAATTCCAATGCCTGCAAACTGAAGCATGGGCCTGGGTCTTGCAGGTGAGTCAGAAACCACTCTGTCCATGATGTGGTTTGAAACCATTTTATGAATCCTTTCTCTGCTCTTTTAGTCCAAGTCAAGGTCCATGCTGTGACAGCAAGACATGTGGGGTTGTACTGCCTGAACGACAGCTGGAATGTGCCAAGGAGAGTGACTGCAAATATCACAGTATTTGTGATGGACGACATCCTCAATGTCCATCCCCACCTAACAAGCCAGACTTCACTGAGTGTAACACCAACACACAAGTATGGCTTTTTTATTATATCTTTCTAAGCTTTATGACACATTTCATATACTATGGCCCTGATGAGGGAGAATTTCTTCAGTCCTTTGTCATCAACTTCTGCAACTTGGAATATACTTTTTAATTCTATAGGCAATCCTCCATGTCTATTCCAGACTTGACAAGCATTAGAGGCTTATGTTCAATTATCATTGACAACTGATTGATATGAATATGATATTGTAACTCATTCATATTGATTAGCTTTTTGTTTCATATGAAGAGCTATTTTCAGCACAAGCCTAGATTAAATGTTGACTTTCAGCATAATTGATGCCATGATACTCATATTTCATCAAAAGAAGCTCTAACTTTAATTGAACAGTGGTTTAAAAAATATTGTGTCTGTCAGCATACATGACTGCTGGATTTAGATTAAGAGTGCTTCATTTTATGGCAGGTGTGTGTGCATGGAGAATGCTCAGGTGCATACTGCTTGAAGTGGGGACTTCAGGAGTGCTTCTTGACTTCTGATGTGATTCAAGACAAGCATAAACTCTGTGAACTTGCATGTCAGGAACAGGATCGTCCTCACACCTGTGTCTCAACCTCAGTCCTTGTTGCCAATGGTTCTCGTGCCCACAACTACTCTGTCATTCATCTCATGCCTGGATCAGCATGTGACAATTACCAGGTCTGTTATTTTTTGTTGTGACATTCTAAAGTGTTTCCTTTTGATCAATGAAATGATGGGTGACTCAATTGATACTAGGGATACTGCGATGTGTTTCAAATGTGCCGTCGAGTGGATGAAGAGGGTCCTCTTCTCCGAATAAAAAATCTTCTGTTTGGCTCAGAGACTCTGGAAACCATACGTGATTGGATCACGGTTCGCATTCTACCTTTCCTTGGATGAATTTACTTAACCAGAAAGTTCCAGTGGATAAGTGGGCAATGGCTTGTTATATACTCACAGAGCAAGTGGTGGGCAGTGGTCTTGATAGGACTCAGCATGGTGATCTGCACAGGAGGATTCATCAAGTGTTGTGCCGTGCACACACCCAGCTCAAATCCTAAGCAGCCACCAGCACGACGTCTTACAGATACATTTGTCTATGGACCAATGACAACAGCAAGGCGAATGGGCTCAGCTGCCAACTCTACTCTCCGACGATTGGTACTGTTGCTCACTGTCCTTTAACCATTTTAACTCTAGAACTACTGGGGCAGTCATTTTGACAGATTGCTAATTTTTAATGCACTTTACTCTGCTTGTTTGGCAACCAATGGCCTTGGCAGTTTTTACTTTTGCTATCTAATATTGACATTTTGAACATTCCAAATAACATCCAGAAAAAGCAAACAAAATGTTACAAATTAATAGTTTGATACTACTCTAACACAGTGATCAAATTGGTCACACCACTAGTTTTAGTGTTAATCATAAGACCTCCCAGCTGAAAACAATTTGAAATTGTTACAAACAATACCAGACAACACCGTCATATATACTTTTTTTTTCATGAGACAAAGAAGAGAATGGAGTATTGCTGTATTTCTGTAGAATGGAAGAAAATTTGTTTAAATTCAAACTCTCCTACAGTTCCATTCAAATTTAATATAACCCAAGAAAAACCTATTCCTGCAGTATTACCTTTTTTTCAAGACACCCTGTGAGAATTTAATGAAATTTTGATTAAACATACAGTCGAATCCGGTTAATTGGACCACCAGTTAATCGGACCAGCCGCTTATTCGGACCGAATCCTAAAGAACCGAAACAAATCCTATTGCATAGGGCATGTTCGTGTAATCGGACCAGCCGGTTATTAGGACCAAAATGATCGCGTCTCGATGTGGTCCGATTAACCGGAATTGACTGTATATATAATTGCGAATTTTAGAAGAGCATTAGAGTCTTGGATGATGAATGTGATTAATGTCAAGATTGAAAAAATATAGAGAATCAAGATGAATTTAATTACAGTTTGCTCAAGTAAAATAAGGCTAGTTTTGTGAATTTATCTCCTAGCTCTTCCTATGCTGTGCACCATTCTAGTTTTGGTCTAAATTAAGCCTGTTTAAATCCACTGGCATGATCCTATGTTTCTGTTCCCCATGAAGTAGAAGCTGTGATGTTGAACCTATTATTCCATCATTTCCAGTCACACCGGCATCACCATCCAGCTGCCCATGTGCCCCATGGACAACGCCATCACCATCACCATGGAGGTGGTGGGGAACGACACGGAAGGGCCCCATCACAGGGCAGATCCCGACCCCCTCTTCCGTCTGATAACTCTGAGTCAGCCATTACCCTGGCCCCTCTTCCACAGGGTGGGCCTCCGAGGGGAGCAAGAGCCAAAAGTGAGCTAAAACATTTTAGTTATTACAACCCTTGACATCTATGATTCTTGGATCTCTCCGATAGATTCATGGACATACCCTGTTAACCAATGATATGTTAATTGTTATATTTTATATCATTATATTTTAGTACTTTACCAGTGGCAGTTTTTTGCATCTCTACATCTATTCTACTGAATATGACAGATTTTACAGCCTTACCTTTGCTTGACCACATTCTGAAACCCATAACTGTCATCTATCTTATTGTGCTTTGATATTGTACAGTGTGCACAATGATGAGGATGTCCATCCAGAAGCTCTTTGAAGGATATTCATTCTTATTAGTAGCATGTGTTGCTCATAAGTGCTCAAAACTGTATGTTAAAAAAAATATATATTTATACCTGAATTCTGAAACCTAAAGTAGATGAGGTAAAAAACATTGAAGTGCTAAAGAGAATTTCTCTTCTGAAGAGTCCATCAATTTATGAAGGACTGTTAGACAAAGGAGGTTTCAGCATATGGAACTTCACTCTTAGCTCAACTTCATTAATATTCATAAAATAATTAAGAATTTTTTTTAAATTTCACTCCTCATTTTTGTCTACAGGGCAAGATCGGGAGCATCATGGGGCAAAGGTCAAGCTGGAACAGATCCCATTGGAAGTGAGGAGACAGAAACGTTGAGCTCAGCTGATCCCTAGGAAAATTCCTTCCAAATGTGATCTGTATGAATGAAAGGACATTGTCGTTGAATGCAAGAATCCACTTTGATGGTCAGAAATTTTCAAGTCTGCATTCCGGGCCATCCGAACGAGAAAAGTTGTTTGTCCGCAACACGTCTTTCAGTCCAATCAGTACCCTGAGTTTGATTTTATTGGACAGAACTTGAGATGTTTGCCTGGGTGATATTTCCTCATGCTTGAACGATCAAAAGTGTACTCCCATGCCTGTTTAAAATATAACCCAGGTAAATATCTAAAACATCAGGGATCATAAGACCTGCTTGCTGCTTCATGATCTTTTTTTTTTATATCCATTTTGCATTTCAGTATGAAACAGTTTATTGTATTTTTACGTTTGTATTCCAGTATTTATTGGTGGTCCTTATATTTTTTTCATGCATCTCAAGTTGGTTCCTCTCTGTTTTCTAAATGGAGATGGGTGACTTGCAGTTGATTTCTTTCTGATCTCCATTGCAGTTTGCATTCATTTTCTGTCTGAGGGAGATAGTGAACTTCAATTTTATAATTAAAAAAAATAATTATTCAGTGGAAGAGTAGCTTTGGTACAATGCGAGAATTTTCCCCTTTCTTTTAATTGACCCTTGCTTTTTTTGTAATTCTTGTATTTGATGTGAGAAACAGACTATTTTCTTGCACTTCCAATCTTAATCTGGCCTTGTTACCAAAGACTGTATCCTCAGATATCACTCTGGAGATGTGTTACTGCTCCTTCTTCAACATCATCTTGTGTATTCCTCCCCCCTGAATGTCTATGCAGCACCTATTCATCATTATCATAATGAATGTCAGAATCCAGTTGAGAATATGCAAAGCAAGCTTCCATGATCACTTACTGTATCATGTGACAGTGGGCATTACTGGCATGAGCTTTCATGAAGAAAACTGTGTCACCTTGCCAGAACCTGATATTAAAGACTCAGTGGTCTTTCTTACTTCCTGGTTGTTTCATTTCCTGTTGACAAAGGAAGAAGGTAATCAAGTGGATCGTTTCCTGGAAATGAAAAATTGAATAGAATATAAGACGAACGGTCGTCCTGTCTTCATTCAAAGACTCCATGGATGGCTGTGGATACGAGGCAGAGGCAGTGGGCAGCAATTGCGCAAAGTAGCACGATGGCGTCACGTGGCCGCTCCACGCTGATTGGTCGTCGTGAGCTGGGATGGCCCCCCACACGCTGGTAGGGTGACGTGTTCTTCGGCTGTGAAGCTTCGTCAGTATATTACGTTTGGAATTCCCTTATCGCTCCTGTTATGATCTGTTACGTACCAGTTGTTCCACGAGACTATATTGCAGTTCAGGAGGTATTTTATGGTTCCTTCTTAGCTTCCTGGGTCGGTCGCGGTGAAAGCAAGGATCTCGCTTTCACTCAGTGTTCTCTCTTCCACGCCCATTGTTTTCGTGAATTAGTAATGACTTCGTACGTGTTGCGCTTGTCTTACTGGAGTTCACAAAGGAAGTGCTAGTAGGCCTTTGCGGATAGGCCCGTGGCCTATGATGTGAATCTATAAATATCATGCCAGAATGAAAATAAGACTTTTCTAGGTTAGCGTAGGCCTAAACTTTTTCGGAGAACTAAGCTCTGCCATAGAGGATGAGGAGGCAAAAGTAAAATTATTCCTACTTGAGCGGAGCCGTTTCCTTTATTATACCTAGCAGAATATGTTGAAAATCAAAATAGTTTCATATAAAATAATTATTTTGGCATCAGACTAAGTCAAACCACTATTTATACAGGATGAGCAGTACTGGAAGAACAACTGTATTCATGCAAAAAGATTGTGAATACAGATACAACATAGGAAAACTAATTTGGCCTGAAACCTGATACGAAAGAGATGGAGCAAAGGCAGGGGTAGAAAGTGCAGGGTAGTGCAGCTAGATTTGTTGCTTGACAACAAAATGAAAGAGAGAAGGAGGAATTAAATGAAAATGTGCACTGGCCTAAATGCTCAAATCAGCACAGCAGCTACAAACTATATTATTAATTTCTTGATGGAGAGAGATGTAACTATGCAATAAAGGACTATTTACGAAACTGTTCAAGTAGGTGTTGATGGATGTTATTAGTAATTTTATGACCATGAGTGGCAACCACTGGGAACAACTGCCCTTGGCTTAACATGGGCCTAGGCATAAGTCTTTACATAGTACAGCTCTGGCCCTACCTAACCGTTGTCACCCAGCTATAGCCATTTGGATGATAGGGTAAAAAAAAAAAAAGTACACCATTCCAAGAAAAAACAGTCCTTTCCCTGAGCTTGAGTTGATAATTACTTCTCTTTCCTTTTTCATTGCTTGAAATTCTTTGCATCAATCATGATGATTTCCTCAAGGTTGGAAAGTCTCAGTTCCCCTTGACTTAGGATATAATACTTCACAACTTGTGTAAGAGTTTCAATAGGCAATTGAGGAAAGATAGAAGGGATCATCCCATCTGCTACCTATCTACTACTCAGGTTTTTTTAAATGGTGTATTACCTTATATTGGGTAATCATGGCACATTGTTTGTCCTCAAGCACTACCTTCTTTAGAGACAGTCTCAATTTTTTTATTTTAAATGCGAATCTGCTAAAGTTGATCTGAGCATGGTCTCATGCATGGTCTCATCCTATCTATCTATGTTGATTTGGCCAAAATTAATTTCTTTTTCTAAATGTGGAATTAATTTCTTCTTGGGAATTCTAGAGAGCAGCATGTAAGTCTATATGACATGTTGGTCAAAGATTAAGTGAACCTAAGAGGAACATGTAGACACCCATGGTTTGAAATTCATCACAGATCTTAAATGAAGTTATAGGAGATGAAGGAAGGTATTGAGAAATATCCCTGCATCCACCACCTTGCAACTACTGTGCCATGATTCTCAATGAGTAGATGGTCGAAAACAGCATTTTGTATATTGTCAATCATTCTACAATATAAAAAATATGCATCTTCAGAGGTCTGTATGGATAGTAGTCCTTCACACGAAAATGTTAGTTGAATTGTTACCTTTTATATACTAACTAGGTATTGGAAAATGCAATGGTTTTACCTTGGGTTCTACCATTCACTAAATGCAATGAGTAAAATTATCATTGGCTCCATTGATGCTCCTTTGAACTGTTCTGGCATTTCATGTCAGGAAAGTTTGCTGTCTTTCAGTGATATTCTAAATAGGTTATTTTGAATAACTTTTCTGTTTATACTATGTTGTTACTATTGAATAACAATTTACGTTTTTTAATTCAAAATTGTCTTACATTTACCTTTTCAACTGATTCAACCATTAATACTGAATTCATTGTGACATTTTCTCTTCCATCTTAAGTAACTTGAGCAATAAATTATTTTACTGAGATTAGTGAATGAATTTTTGTCAAACTTATCTTGGATTCCATTGGGTTTGTAACTCTTCTTTCATGGAAGGTATGGCCTCCCCTCCTCATTTGTACAATTATAAAGGTAGTATTTGCAAATCACTATATTGAAATCATGGGGAAAGCAGACTTGTCTACCCTCTTGGACAGAAGCTAACTGACTCGACCATCTTGTCTTCCTCATTTTAGTAATCACTGATTTTGTACAAGATAAATAATATTCCATTTCCTCTGGAGGTGTCAAAGCCTCACTGTGGGATTTTTTCTGCTCTTGTAGATTTTCTAATGATGTCATGATATACACCGATCCTGTAAACATTCAGGAAGTGCTAGAGTTTGGGCTTTATTGATTCCAATGCAGCTTTGGATTTCAGGACTCTGGCATCACAATGCAGCTCTGGACTTCCAAACTCTTTCTAATGCACAAAATAGTGATGCTAGGGAGAGAAAATTTGGTGCAAAATGGCAACTTTACTGTCTTAAGTCATACTTGGGATGACCAACAAAAAATTTTACAACTTGAAGCAGTTGAAGATGAAACACCATACAAGGCTTTAACAGGAAATTTACAAAATGTTCAGTCTAATATGTAGGAACTCAATTTTATTTTCCAAATAGGTGTCTTAGAACCTCAGTTGAAACTTTTTCCCATGCATTGTCACATGCAGAAGTGTGTGTGTTTAATGCATGCCTGCTCAGCTGGACTAGGAAGGGTGAGTTTGATCATGCACAGACAAAGCAGCCAGAATGTGCACACTGACGGATCTCTCTTGACATTGTACCGAAAAAAGCTGCAATCGAGTCCTCAGCTACCTTTTTCGTGAAAATTCTTGTGAGACCATCTACACAAGTTAGGTGATATGGCAATTTATCATAGACATCCTGATGATGTTTCATCTGCAGCTGCGTAAAGTTGAATATTTTGTTCACCTAATTTATTTTCTCACTGAGATCTCTGCCTAGTACTGCTATTGCTGAACAGAGATAAGATAGTGCCAATATGGGGAAGGGGAGTATGTACACCTATGTGCTATCTGTGGTTGAGTAATTGTGGCTTGCCTTGACTTGCAGGTAGGCATAAACCTATACTAGAAATAGGGATAGTACTATGGGATCATGAAGAGAAGCCTGTGGGTCATAAACCCTTGCCAAACTCTCTGCATATGCCAAATAGAAAAGTGGATAGGATAGTATTGTTGTCTTAATATGAACACATATCGACAGAAACTTTTGTAAAAGCTTCAATTATAGTAGCAATATGTAGCATTTCCTAGTAATAATGTATATTTTAAAGTTAAACATGGGTATGGTATTGAAGTGTGGACGATTTGGCCAATCCTTGGAATTTTTCCATTTTGATCATTCAAATGCTGCAAGGTCTATGATGAAAGTAAAATGTCTGTACTTGGACCTCATAAGTGTGCCATGACTTACCAATGAAATACTTTTTTTTGTCGTTTTTGCCAAGCCCGATGGGAAATAATAGGTTCCTCGCTTTTTAGTCTTGCAGATACGAGTTCTTGAGGTTTCTTCGGCAAACGCCGCGACTCCAAGCATCGAATTTATGAGAAGTGCCATTTCGAAAGTTTCGTCTCACTGAAAACGCCAAGCTGGAAGTCATGTCAGTGGAAGTGATCATCAAGGCCGCCAACCAGCGCGTGGACGATCAGGCAGTGGCTTGTGCGCCGGAATGGACCATCCTGGACCTCAAAGACCACCTGGCCCATAATTACCCGGGGAACCCCCGTCCCGACGACCAGAAGCTCATCTATTTCGGCCAGCTGATGCCAAACCATCTTCAGTTGAAGGATGTACTCCGGCTGAAGAACGAAGACACCACGCACACGATCCACTTGGTTTGCCGCAGCGATGGCATCCACAAAGCGGCGTCGATGCCCGTACTCAAGAGCAACGAAGAACCGAAGTCGAAGGGGATCGAAGAGGCGAAACCCGAGCCCCAGCAGGACCGGCCGATCCATCACAGCACCACGGTCCCGGTGTCAATGTCCGAGTACCCGTCGCAGGCCCGACCGCCTTCGAATATGAATCCCGAGCAGATCCGGCAGTACCGAGAGATGCATCTCGATTACGTCCGCTGGTACATGGACTACTATCGGCCCTGGTTCCACTCGGTGTATCCACAGTACGGTCCCCCACCGCACGTCCCGCCGCCCCCTCCCATCGACCCGCAACCCGATCAGCAACAACCGGAAGAAGCACCGAGAAACCAGAACGTGCGGATGGACGCACAGGGCGGAGCCGTGATGGAAGACGACGAGGAGGGCGCCGGACGCAACCAAGACGTCTTGGATTGGGTCTACCTCCTCGCCCGAGCCGCCGCCCTCTTCTCCATCGTCTACTTCTACTCCAACTTCCTCCGCTTCTCCATGGTCATGATCCTCGGGTTCCTGCTCTTCAACCTCCAGGCGCTGTGGAGGGCCAACCGGGGCCTGCAGCCCCGCAATCCGACTCCCGAGCCGAATCCGCCGCAAGACGAGTCGAACTCGGGACAGGAACACGATGCGGAGGAGTCCAGGAATTCCGTCCCGCCTCCGTCGATGTTGGGCTATGCGTGGACCTTCGTCACCGGTCTCTTCTATTCCCTGTTCCCGGAAATCCCCACCAACTGATGGTGATCGGGGAGTCGATCATCGATCTTTCGCTGTGATAAACTCTTCTCATCTGGGTATTGGTAGCGCTTTTAGTGTGTTTTTTCCTTGGTGCTGCGGAAGCTATAGCCCATATTCCCGACAGACACTGAGAATCGCTGAGATTCCTCTCCCTCTACCCTGCAGCTGAGATAGTCGATGTTGCTTTATTCAAGGGTAATAATACAAGTACAGAAATAAAGTATTGCTTTCTTTATTCGACGATCGGTTGCCCTGTGCTTCGAAGGCGTGGTCTTGGACGAAACACATTTTGTTTCTCGGAGAATTCAGTTTTCGTCCGAGTGAGTTCGACGAGAGCCGAATTCGTGGACGACCTCGATTTTTTTTTTATGCGAAAATGCGAGCGGCAGGTGCGACTCGCTTTCTCATCGATCCGAGGTCCCGAAACGAAATGAAAAAAATTATTCCGTATCTCTCTGCATTTTCTATGGTTGGATGACGAGACTTTCACTCGCGATTCCGAGTTTCCATCGAAAGTTTCCTCGTTGCCGAAAGCGGAATTTCTCTTTTCGAGGAGAAATCGCCGACCGTCGACGTTTTCTGCGGGGCGAAACGGGCATTCCCGAAGGAAAAGTCGTTAAAGGGAATTTAATGGCAGCGATAGGAAACCCGAGAATGGTTGAGCCCCCTTCCCCGTGAAAAAGGATCGCGACTCTTCTGCAATAAGAGTTCTCAGCTGACAGTTCCGTGCGGAAGAAACGACGCAACAAAAAAGGAATTTTTGCCTTTCAAATGAATGTAAATTTTCATGCCGGAGTGTGAAGATATAACGGAAGGCTATTAGAAGAAAATTGCTGCTCTGTGTCTTTTTTTTCGCAATTAAATTATATGGTAACATTCACTCGACGAAACGGAACTTCGAAGTGACGTCAGCGTACCGTTCCGGAACGCCCACGCGGCCGATCCTCAGACTTTCCGCTGAATTGCTGAATTGCTGAACGCAAGGAATGTGGGAAGAATTCAGAGATCCGGTGCCGAACGATGACCTTTATTTTGTCCTTTATTATTCCGACCGAGTGGCATGCGAGTCCGACCGGCCTCGGGAGTAGGCGGCTGGAAGCACTTGGAAGGAGCCGGAAGTACTCGAAAGACACCGGAAGTACTCGAACTCATCCCACATCGCGCCTTTTTTTTCTAGCTCAGTAAACGTTTCGAAATAAATATTTTAATATGATAAAACTCTTAAATAAATAAATAAATAAATAAAAACTGGGGAGAAGATCCGAACGAGAAACGTCGTGAAAGTAGAAAGGGAATTTTCGGCTGCACGGACCGAGGTCGTCTTCTCGTTTCTTCCCCCGTAATTTGCGCCGGAGAGAAAGCGCGGGAGGCGAGGAACCTGCAGGCCCAGTGCTGCCGGATGTCTCGGGGAGGCCCCAGTGCTGCCGGATCCATCCCAAACCGAAGCCCATTTCGAAGCAATTTTTTTTTGCAGTGGAATTTCGCATTTCCCGCCAGAAACCATTTTGATCGCCGTCACTCTGCTCTTCCAGCTGTTTCTGCATCAGCTGAAGGCCATTTTTCTTATTCAAGTGACAAGCATTTTAATAAATCGAAGATTAAATGGCATTTGTCTTCCTTTCTCTTCCAGTTTTTTCTCCTGGGGGGGGGGGGGGGGGGGGGGAGGGGAAAGGGGGGGAAAGAAGGGGCAGTGCACATTTCACCTCACCATTGCTTACTCCAGGTTTTTTATTTTTGTTTTTTTTTTATTTTTGTTTTTGTTTTTGTTTTTGCTTCTCTTTTTTATTTTTGCTTATGCTTCTTTTTTTTTTTTTTTTTTTGTTTTTTTTTTTTTTTTTTATCTTTTCTTACGTTTCTCCTTTTTTTTTTAATCACTGGCTTCGCAGAGGGCGGGAAAAGCGTCGAGAAATTCCAGGCTTCTCTCCTACACATCGCAGAAAAACTCAAATATTTCGATCGACATCGAAAAAGTTTTTCTCGAGGAACTTTTTCGAGTCTCCGACTCCTTCAGATAAAGAGCGAGTCTTTTTTTTTTTTTTTTTCCTCGTTCATCGTGATGACGTCCGGCCTGACGGAAGGAAAACGTTGTTGCCACGAAAGCAGCCGTAAAAATAAAAAATAATAATAATTGGGCCGTGAATATAATAATAATAATAATATATATAGCATAAAACCGCCGGAGGAAATATCTTTTTGTCATCTTTTCTTTTTTCTTTCGAGACGCCTCAACCGTTCCAGCCAGAATCCAGAACGCATCTCTCGCGAGAAAAAAACGAAATAATTCGGATTCGCCAATTCGCGGGACAAATTCGCCCTGTCGCCGCGGGACGCGATCCGGACGTTCCAAGACTTCCCGCCAGCCGGCAGCACGATCGGGAACTTCGAAGACGCCGAAGTTCTCACCGAAAAAAAAAATTATTTTCGCATTGAAAGGGCTGGAGCGAAGGGAGTACACCCTCCCTCCCCCGACGACACCATCGCCGCGACTGCGGACATTCATTCCACGGATGCCCTTCCACGGATGCCCTTCCACGGATGCCGTTCCACGGATGTCGGATGTTCCGTTTCGATCTCCCCCCCTAGTCGCCGTCAGCTGCGACTTCGCCGCTCGCCAGCTGGTCTCCAGGCGTCGCTGTGGATTCCGTCTCGCCGAGAGACGGCCGCCGTGACCGTCACGCCCTCTTGCGAGTCACGCTGTCACGTGCGAGTCGAAAGAGTCTCCGTGTCCCCTATTTAAAAATCCTGCCTGCCTCTCATTATTGCACGCCGGCCGGGGACCCCCTATCCCGAGGAATGCGCTAATTTGCTCGAGGAACTAATTAATCACCTCGGGCGGACGCACTCTCGGCTCGTCGCTTGGGCTTTGTGCCTCGCGCTTCGTCGCGTCGCGGTGGTTTTTTTGTCCCGTGGATGGAATGAGGAATTTCCAGGAAAAACTTTGCGGGATTCTCCCTCGATGTGTTATCCGCGTTTGCGATTCTATCGAGCTGAATTCCAGGTCGACTGCAGCGCTCGTCGGTGGGATTCACTCGAGATTCACCCGAGATTCACTCGAGAGTCACCGGAGATTCACCTCTTCGCCGCTCGGATACCACGTAATGGGAATAGGCGGTGAATTGCTCGAAATGAAGTACGACGGCGCGTGATTACCGGCCCTCGGCGAGTCACGAACCTCTCAGTCCGGCCACAATTGCGCGGAACGGTGGGATTCACCCACGATTTCAAGAAAGAAAAAAATAATATATATATCTGAACTTCCATGGAAGAAACTTTCGTCGGCGGTTCGGACGGAAAAAAAAGGGGAGGAGCCGGGGCTCGAACCCTTGCCATCGGGACGCCGCGAGTGCGAGCGAGTGAAGGGACCGCGAGCCGAGAGGGAGGAAAGGAGGGAGAGGGAGAGGGAGAGCGAGGCATCGGTCCCAGTCCGTGCCAGGCACGGCCTCCCCGCCTCCCCCGTCTCTCCATTCCTCGCCCTCTGGCCCCTCGGAGCGGACGGAACTCCTTCACTCCCGAGTCCGGAGCCTCTCGCGTCTCGTGCCGTCTTGCAGTCTGCGTCCGTTCGCGCCGGTTTCGACGGTGCCGCGTCCGTTTCGTGCTTCGTGCGTGAGCCTAGCGCTTCGAGTGCCGTTTTTCGCGTGGAACCCGTCCCTCACGGTACGATTTCGTAGGCCTACGTCTCTCTTCCCTTCGTTTCTTTAAGCGTACTCGCCTCGGCGCCAGGTAACTCGTCTCTCGATGTTTACTCTTTAAATTAATATATGCTGTATGCTCCGCGGGACTCGTACGTGCCGCCGATCCCCGATCCAGCCCCGATCCAGCCCCCGTCCTTGCCTTTCCACGCAGCTGTCTCCCTCCGCCCGACTCGATCGAACGGGTCAGGCCCGACGCGTCCCTCGCCCGACCGACACGAACGGAATCCTCTCGCAGGGGTCACCGGGTTCGAAGTCCGTCTTCCCGTCGTCTGCTACGAAAATCGCCTTCCGAGACGAAAGAAAGACCCGGAAGAGATATTCGCAGGCGTCTGCCAGATGCTCGCCCCGCCGGATCCTGCATCTGGCCGTAGAGGGTCGGCCTCGTGAGGGTCAGCCTCGAGAGGGTCAGCCTCACCTCGCGAAGTTCTTAGTGAGAAAGGATTTTTTAAAGGGCAGAAGCGGAGGAATGAGCCCGTCGCTCCGTCCTTGAGCCATTTCTCCGCACTTTCACGGCCTTTTAAATAGGATTCGGAACGAAAAAAATCCCCACTCCGCCGATCTCGGTCGATCGCGCCTCTCCTCGCCGATCGCGCCCCGCGCGAAAGTCCCTCCACCCTAAAGGAAGCCAGAAAAAAAAAGAGGCTGGCACGAGGCCAGGCATTCCGCGGAGGCGATACGATTTCCCACGTAATCGGGCACCCGCGTTTCATAATGCGCATCGTGGAATGCAAACTTCCTGGGTCGATTAATTGTCGGCCCGAAACTCCATTCCGCGAAACTTCGTATATAAAAAAAAAAGTGGAATGGCCCTCGGCGATGTCTCTTTCTGTCTCCCAGTTTACGTCACGAACCCGTTTTTTTTTCTCCCCCTCTCAATGGAAAGGCAGAGCAGTGTTGCGAGATTTCGGTTCTCGCTGATCAGCTGGATTTCGGATTTTAGCCGTCGACACGGTCGAGTGTAAATCATGAGATGAAAATCATTTGATAAATTTGAGGAGTTTGCGGCCATCCAAGGCGCCTTCGTCTCGTAATCGTTTCTCATTAAACATTTTTCGGGACTTTGCAGCTTAATTTATTCATTTTTGGTTTCGCATCGAGAGAGAGAGAGAGGAATTTTTTTTTCCTATTTTTTGCCGAGATTCCAGGAATTTCATTGTTCCCATTATCGGATTTCTCCCTCGTTAATTTCGGGACCGATCCCACCCCGATCCCATCCAGGAGTATCGACCGACCGCTTCCTCTATTTTTTTTTTTGTCGTCCAGGAAACGGCATGCAAAGGCGAAATGGGCCCTAACGGTTTCGCCCCACGCCGCTTCGGAGACCCTCTGGGCCGAAACGCGGATTTTCCCACATTCGTCCCCCACGTGTTCCCGCGGTCGAACGCAGACGGTAACGATTCCACGCTCGGATACAACCCTGAATAATGACATTTATAGGAAAGTCGAGTGAAAGCTCTGGCCTGGTTAAATTATGAACGACCGCGATGGTAGGGGGGAGGGGAGGGGGGGAGAAATTTTCCTCGAGGGAATGAAGAAAGTTGCGAAGTAATTTTCTCGACGCTCCATAAAAGCGGTTCCCGAGCCGTTCTCGTCGGAAATCGGCACGGATCGCGAGAGACCATTTCGGATTCGTTGCGAGGTGAAAGTTCTGCTCGTGTTGCGTTCCGCGAACTTGTTCCCGGTAACGAGGCCAAGGCCCGCCCCGCGACACGTGTCGAGTAACCGGAATCCCCGTATCCGATTTGCAATCGATCCGGTTCGCAGGTGGGAGCAGGTGGGAACGGTAACGGAACTTCCTGGAATTTTTTTTTCTCGTTCGTGATGAATACTGTCGTTTCGTCTGACCCGGCGTCACGAAGATTTCCCTCCCCGTCACGTTTCTCGCCGTGATGATGATGATCCGCTCGGGTCGATGCAACGTCGGCTCGATCGACCTCTTCCATCGACCTGGAAGTGCAAAGGCAGGTCACGTAATGGCTCTGCGATTCCGACTTGATTGACAGTTTGAGAAGGGAGGGGCGTGACCTTGAGGTCGAGACGTTGCATGTGCGTAGTTGCACCTCGCAGTTGCACCGATGCAACTGCGCAGTGCCGAAGCGACTCGATTTTCACCTGAGAGATTTTTCTCATTTTTTGGGTCAACTCGACTCAAGGTGATTCGGGAGGGAACCGGTGGGCACAACCCGGCAGCCTTGACTCGGGTTGAGCAACTGTTGCCTTTTGAGTTGCCCCTCGGCGTGCAGCGTCGCCCCTCGGTGCGTCCTCGCTAGAGGATTCCGTCCCGTTTCGCAGGTCATTCATCTGTGACCCGCATTTTTTCGGCTGACTCACGCCTGATCGGCGGGTGACATTCGGAAGGGCGAAGCACGAAGCATGAAGCACGAAGCACGAATCCGCAGATACTGCAGCGGAGGAGAAAAGCCGAGGCGACAGCCGTCGTTCCCCGCCGGAGGTCGGGATCCAAGGTCTCCCGGCGGAATTCCTCTTCGTTTCCTTTCGATAAGAAAAAGAATATAAAAAGGGGGAAAAAAAAAACAATAAACGAGACGGGAGACATGCTAGAACTCGAAAGACTGGAGATATTCTTTCCTGGCCGTCCCCCGTCGCAGGTCGCCTCGGGCTCCACCTTGACATTCGCTCACCTCTGCACGTGGGAAGCGCCTGCACTCCCCTTTTTCTCTCGTGTACGCCGTGGGCGAAATTTGCTCTCGCCGCCCTTGCCTGCTTCCCCCGTTGTGCAACGAAAGGAAGGGAGAGAGAGGACGGAGGGAGGAAGGACGCATTGTTTCTCTCTGGCCTCTTTCTCCGAAAGGATGCGCCTTCGCGCTTCATTCGGCGGCATGTGGGTCAAGGAACGGCGTGGAACCGAGATCCCGACGATCGGATCCCGTTCCAGAAAGACGGGAAACGAGGATCGAGTCGAAATTCTCCACGGTTTGCCATCCGGCGCCGCGACAGCACTTTTTGGTACCGTTCGGTACCTCCCCCCTCGCAAAGGCGGCCTCCTCCGCTTCGAAGGCGGCTCCCTCTGCGAAGGCGGCTGCTGGCGCCGTCTGGTCACCACGGGCTTCGTTGCGTGTCGATTGTCACGGATATGGAACGTGCTGGTATCTCATTTCCTGGACCCCCGTGGCCGTCGGCCCATTGTGAAGCGCCTTCGCTCGGGTGTCATGGAAAAAAAGTGAAAGGATGAGGACGAAGAGTTCCCCCCTCGAATCTCGTTCCGTTTCGCGCACGAAGGGAAATAGATTGCGAAACCGCAGGTCAACCACCTTTTCCTTAAAAAAACAAAACAAAGAAGTCTCTTTCGTGTTTGGACTCTAGACGAACAAAAGCCCACGAACGCGATACGGCGTGACCCTCTCCCTCCTAATTAGCGCCCTTTTCAATGGGGAATACGTGCGATTGTGCGAGGCGAGGTGAATGATATCCGGGGCTTTTGGTAAATGACTTCTCCCTTGGCTGAAGGCTAATAACGGTTCAAACGTACAGGAGCAAAGGGAAAACGCGAGTCCCGTTATGCCATGCGACCTCCTCGGTCTGTCCTTCCCATCCCCGATTTTGCCTTTTGGCTTCACCTTCGGATCTCGTTCTCAAGTTGCCCGATTTTGCGTTCACTCAGGCATAAATATATGCCGCCATTAGACTTATGCGAATGATCTGGTGACTTTTTTTTTTAAACAAACAGGCCATGCCTCGTCGAGCATGGAATTCATTTTTTTTTCGTTATTTTTTATTATATATTTTTCAGATTACTCAATCTCAGGCCAAGGCCCGCCCTCGGGTCCACCCTCCCCAAGGCCTGAATTTCCATCCCGGTACGACTTCAGTTCCATTCCTAAAAAAAAAAAAAATTATCCGTAAAACGTGGGTTGCCATGTGAACCATCGATGCTCCTCACAGAAGGAGATAAGTGGAGCCTGTGATCAGTGATGCGTTGATGTGGCTCATCATCTTGGCTAGCTGAATTGCTAGTGGCGAGGAAAAGTGTTATCGGCCCCAATGACCAGGATGAAGAATTCCAGCATTCTCAAATTGGTGCAGAACAATAAGAACTCCTCCAAATGTGAGTGGCAATAGTTTCAGATCTGTATTTCAGAGTTCCATTTTATTTTATTTAAAATATTTATTTATATATATTTTTTCTGGTGGAGTCTTGATGCACTTGCTTATTTCATGATTCAATGAAGCCAAATTAGAACTTCATAAGAGTATGAGGTTGGCTATGTCTTACCATGGTGCTGGGAGAAGTTAAAACTCTAATGTGAAATTCTGATGTTTGTTCAGCAGCGAAAACATGGATCCATCCTCCCGAGAACCTTCAGAACAACCACATTGCTTACCTGGTGAAGGCAAGTATCAAGAACATGTTGCCCTTTTTTGTGACTTCTTTTAGGATACAAACTGGCAAGGAGTACTTCTTGCTTTTCTGCCCAGATTTAAAAGAAATAAGCTACCTGTTAGATTCATTATGCAAACTTATTTCACTTACAATTAGTAACATTTTATTTTGCCCTCTGCAGTTCTTGGGTTGCACAGAGGTGGACCAGCCGAAAGGAATCGAGGTGGTGAAAGAGGGGATTCGGAAACTTACTTTCAACCAGCAGCTGAAGAAGGCTGAGGGGAGCAGCAGCAAGCCACCCAAGGTGGAGCTCACCATCTCTGTCGATGGGGTGGCCATTCAAGAACCCAAGACCAAGGTGAATCCGAATACCACACGTCGGTCTTGCTGACGTTTTCCTTTCTCCTGTGGGATGCCTTTGTCTGAGCAGTGACAGAGCTCTAGAGATGTCATCTCTATGAAATGCAGTAGTCCTGTAGTAAATCATCTTTTAGTTATAATAAATAGGTAATTTACTACAGCATTATGTCACTGCACTTCTCAGGAGAACAAGACTTGAGATAGAATTGTGTAACCATTGAGAATAGTCATTCTGTCTTTTAACACAGTACTATATTGTCTCATCTTGGCAGGAGATCATGTATCAGTACCCACTCCACCGGATCTCCTACTGTGCGGATGACAAAGCAGAAAAGCGATTCTTCAGCTTCATCGCCAAAGAGTCCTCGAGCACAGAAAAGCACACTTGCTTCGTGTTTGTCTCGGACAAGCTTGTGAGTGGATTTCTCACCCTTGCCCATGATAGTTGCATTGTGCAGATGGCATATAGAGTGCATGAATGTCACACATAGGCAGAGGAGATCACATTGACCATTGGTCAGGCCTTCGATCTGGCATATCGCCGGTTCCTGGAGTCTCAGGGAAAGGACATTGAGTCTAAGAAACAGGCAATGGTATTACACAAGCGCGTCGAGGCCCTCGAGAGGGAGAACAAGGAACTCCGGGCTCGACTCCAGGAACTCTCACAGCTGCTCAGTCCTGATGCACTCCAGGGATTCATGAGTCGCAAGAATGTAAGAAGACATAATTGCTCTTCTATTTATATGTACAATTTTTTAATACAAATTATATTCAAAATCAACAGAATAATTGATTTTAGCATAGTTATTTCATGGGAGAATTATTCTGTTTTTCAGCCACAATAGAGCTTGGTCAAACTAAGACTTGAAGTGTACTATGTTGTCACTTGTGCTGAAATCATATTAATTTCAGTCAGACAGGACTCTAGTAGCAGTCATTGACTTTCTTGATATATTTATTGAGTTGAACATTTGGAGAACTTAATGAAAAGCTACTGAGGATTTTTGGTACCCTGTAATACCTATTTAGAAGTACCTGATTGCTGTACATGGCATTATCTGCTTTCATTTTGCATCATTATGCCATGAAATTTATCAAGTACTCCTTTCATCATTGTAGATCCCAAATTTGTTGATCGTGGATGATGGAGACGAGGTGTCAATGACATCTACTACATCCCAAGAGAATGGAAAGCATGAAAGTGAGGGGATTCTGGAGGACATGCTTCTCATTGAGGCTGACCTACAGGGACTCGTTCCACCTCCTGTGCCACCGCGCAACGACCCCGACCCGGCAGTTGGTCGCCACCTCGAGAACCTACAGTGGAGCGATCTTGAGGACTTGCACAACCCGCTCAATGGCTCCAGCTCCAATGGATCTTCTCCTCCAATACCTTCCTGTGAGACCTGCACAGGTTTTCACATCTCACACCTATGGTACAAGTGCAGTGATCAGTGCTAAGCAATTGCAATTGGAATGAAGGCATCCAGCTACAAATTAATGCGATTTAAACTCATTTAGCTGTTGACTCAACTTCCAGATTGAACTACTTTAAGCCCAGAAATCTCATGGAAATTAGCAGCAATTGAATACTGCTTATACTTGTCACATCTGCATGTACTTGAAGTTTACATAGTCACAAACTTTCAGTATAAGGAATCAGGGTTCCTGTAAAAACATAATTTCACAGTGTTGCTTTGTGACAGGTTGTGTTTTCAATATGCGCTTCTTTTTCTCACCAATTGCCATTCATTAACAAGGTAAGACATTTTTCTTTGCAGTATTTGAAATTCTCTCAAGTTATCAGGAAGTTCATCTGAGTCATATTTATATTTATAAACATTTAAAAATTCAAAATTACATGTAAACATGTAAAATGTTTAACTGGATACATACATTTCACTGTTGTAAGCATTAATTATGAATACCTGAATAATAAACTAAAAGTTTGCAGTATTTTACTTCTGAGCTGAGGATTCCAAACATTGTCAATTTTTTACTGAAATTATTTATATGGGTGCCATTGAAAAGGTTAAGGATCAGGAGTGTCAAAACTCTTTGGTGCACTTTTCACTTTTTCGATTACACGATGATGCAATATGCAACCTGAACGTGTAGAAGCAATGAGAAGCGATACTGTTTCCTAGATATGATGCAAGCACCATCTCTTGGAAACTCATGTATTTTGATTCTAGCTCTCTGAATATATCACTGAAACTTGCTTTCTTCTCCATGTAACAGCATCATGTCTTCATTAATAGCCATGTAATTGTTCATGTTTGTTTTAGTCTGGGTATACATGAGCCTTGTAGGGGTGAACCATCAGGATTAAAATTTGAGGGAATGTTTCCTTCCTGAAAAGGAACATGTTGGCAATTCACATATTGAAACAGAGAGCAGGAGGGAACTTAAAAAGTATATTTTAACCCCTTAGTGCCCAGGTGTTTTTTCAAGTAGAGATACGTTTTACTGGAAAATCTTCTATGCAAAACAAGAGTAATCACTTATTGCTCAGTACTACCACATTCCATAGTTTCAACAGCAGTTTAACATCAGCATTATCTATGCATTAATTTTGTTTGTATAATTTACTTATCAATTGCATAATTATATGTAGCATTTATGCACCAAAATATGTATGCATTAATTCATATTCTAAAACTGGCAGACCTTAAGATAATTAATCCATATAATTATAACAATTAATAGTGCAGTATACTACACACAAAAAATTGCTTGATCCCTATTTAAGAATCATGGGACATAATTGGTTAAAGGAATCTGTCATTTCCACTTTGTGAAGGCAGAAGCAGTGAATTAGTAGTTTTGATCAGATTAGTTTCAATATAGCCAGCCTGCAGCAAGGAAAGAAAGTGCCTTGGTGGAGGTCATGTAGTTTTCTTGACACACTTCATTTCTTTTGCAGCCCTGATTTTAAGCACCTAAAAGGAGTGAGATGTTCACTGTCTCCATCTAACAGTTGGAAATGGTATTGAAGTTTGAGCAATGTACGCTGTGAGTTCCAATGTTCTCACCTCCATGAGCTGCATCAGTGAAGATGCACTGGGTACAGATATTTAGGTTGAAGAAAGACTATCTCACCTTATGAATTGGCCAATTTAGTACTCCTCATTGGTTGGGTGTAGTACAGCCCAGAGAACCCCTCAGGAGGATGAAAGTTCTTTTGCTTATTGTATATTGTCCGTAATGCTGTTGAAACTGTGAGGTAGTTCTTGCATCTGCATTGAGCTTCTGGTGGGAACAATATTATGGCAATTTCAGTTGATTGTTGGAAGCCTGAAGCCCCTTAACTCTGTGTGGTATGTGTATGTGGAGGCCTAAAAAACCATGGGGAAGATGAAGTATCTTTAAAAATCACATTGTTTTCTTCATTTTTGGTTTATGCTACATACATTAGCTAACTCTCAAAGTGTGAAGGAAATAAAAACTGGCCTAAAATATATTGTAGTTTAGTCCCAGAATATTTTGCCTCGACATGTAATGCATGATAACATTGCATGTCAGATAGCGTATGTGATGCCAAGAATTGTTGAGCTTGCTTGAATTTTCTGAGTAAACATTTTAATTGAGAAATTACGCTTTATAGCATCCTGTCTATATAGATCCTCCTTATTGAGAACTTTGGTTTTACTAGACATCAGAGGGGATGTAGTGAACATTTTGAAGATACCAGACTGCTGAATGCATTGCAGAGATCTGCTAGACCTTTTCTCAAATATATCTCTCTTGCTTAGAGGACTAATTTTAAAAGAAATCAATTCTGACATCCATCTCGTCGATGTAAACAGAAGCCAGGCAGACTGGTGAAAAAACTAAAGTAAATGTGCATATAAAAAGAGAACAGAGAAGGAACTGAATTTACCTACTCAGATGGCCCTTCATTATGTGGTATAGAAGAGACAAAAAAGGTTGGGTGGCAAGATAATGGTAGCCTCCATATCTGTAAAATGTGACCATGGTCTGAAAAAGTATCAAGGGGAGGGAGTGCAGGTAATAAAAAAACCATTCAGTTAGCATATTACATCCAACCCGTTGTAGTCAGATTTTCGTAACATGAATGCCACCTCCTTCCTATCCATACATCCTCTAACCTTCTCCATTCTTATCTCATCTCTTCCACTGTATCTTGCATGTTGACCCCTTTGTTCCCTTGAACTACTTCAGTAGATCCATTCCTTCTATTCTCTTTTTCACATTCAGACATGACTGATTTCCTTCTGCTTTTTTTAAAATTGCTTTAGCATAATTTTATTAAGGTAAAAATGCTTCGTTTATTTTTTTATATTTACTTATTCTGAGTCAACACAAGGATTCTTGAAGTTAAATTTTTTCCAAAAATTTGTCTTAAAGGCCCTGCAGATGCATATCTGCAGGGTCTGAAGCAATAGTGTTAAATCAAGGTTTCTTTGAGAATTTTTTGAACAGACTTTGCCCTATGTATCTGAATCTATCATCAATTTTGACAGATCTGAAATCACAAGTTCTGTACTTTGCCTTGCAGTGAGTCCACCACCTTCAAAGGGGAGGGAAGTGCCACCACCACCAATTCCAGCCAGGAATCTCTCTGGTCCAGCCTTGAAGGACATCTTTGGTTCTGAGCCTTTTGCTTCAAGTACTAGGCTGGCAGATCCCATGATGATGCACCCATCTCAGTCTATGCCTGTTTTTGGGCAACAGAAGGATCTGTTTGGGATGGGTGACTTTTCATCTCCAACAAAGTCCCTTGAGCAGTCCTTGTCTTCTCTTGAGGGGAGAATCAGCGACATGCAGGTTAGTGATTCTTCTACTCCTATACCTCCAATAGCAGTTGTCTACCAACCACATAGTGGGCTTGCTTTTCCTTTTCCATTTCCTTTACTCCTTGCCTTGATTTTATTATACTTTTAGTTTTATTAAGTATTTATTATCTTGGAACCATTGTTGGTTTAATTAATTAGCTGCATTATGAACATACATCATCTTTTTTATTCTGATATCAATGTGGAGGTGTAGTTCATGACAGCTTCTTAAACTTGGATTTCAGAAGAATTACTCAACACTTGCCAAAAGTTTTGTGCAGAAATTTGTGGAAAAAGGCTGGGTTGAGCTAGTGCATCTAGAAACTACGGGCATTTCCAATGATGTGAGAGCATATCATGTCAGGAGGTGCCCATATTGGAAACATTTCCCACACTAGTATCTCACAGCATTAGGACATAATTTTTTTATTATTGGATTTTGCCAAAGAATCATGGTTGCCACGTTTGCTATTAGATTCATAAAATTGCATCACGTTTGAGTGTGATCACTCTGTGGTCTTGTTAATTTCTTTTTTTTTTTAAGGTAGGACTTGCTGTAGAAACACTGTATTATGGACATTTTCAATATAAAGTACAGTGCTTGGCATAGGGACCATGACTGATGCCACAATCCCTCAGCAGAAACTCCAAGTTTGTTGAAAGCCTTAGTTACCACTCATAGGTTGCAAAGGCCCATGACTTGAACTAGTGAATTTCAAGGTGGACTACATTTATATCTTGTAGATTCGGAATGTTGAGTGGCAAGCATCTTGTTCCAACTACTTGACCACCAGACTTGGTGGCCTTGGTTTTCTATTTAATGAAACTTGGTTGTATGATGCCAACCTCCTTTCACAAAGTGGACCTTTGAGTGACCACTCTTTAGTTCACTTTTAGTATATAGGAAAAGAAAAGTGACATTAATGGTGATACTAGGGAAAATATTTATAATAAAACCATAATATGCCATAGCTATTCAAATACCACAGTCAATAAAGCCAAAGATAGGGACACATCTGGCTTTCTGAAAGTAGGCACAGTGTCTCCATTGGCTCATTTCTCAGGAGCACCCTAATGTGGAGCTTTCAGGTTGTAAGGGGAGGTACCCATTTGTGAACAGTTCTTGCATTTTGTGCAGCATCACCAGCACATTGTGCTCATTTTACAATTATAAAAGCCTTTTTAATATTTTTGAAGGCATTGGAGGAAAAGACCAATGGAAAAAGCCAAAATGGCAATTATGTCTTCAAACTTTCATCTCATCAAAAGAGCTTACTTTCTCTTAAGTTTCATTAAATTAATGGAAGATTGAGGTCAGCCTTTCTTAGTGCAGGCAGTAAATAGAAAGAAAGCATTACAGGTCTTTCTTTCACCAATGAACAATTTATTTTGGGCTGAAAAAAAAAACTGTGAAAGATGGATGCTTGGTAGTTCGATTCCTTTGATAATCCAAAGGGAACAAATCCTTGGAACAGACTCAAATGCTCCACTCCTCAGGCCTTGAGAATGAGTGTACTGTCCTCATTCCTCATAATTGAATTGTTATCTTCTGTCCCTTACCCTTGAAGGCTGATTTTTGAAGATGATACTCAACATTTACACAAGAATGATGATGAAGGGGATATGTAGAGTTTATATTACTGAAGAAATTATGTCATTGCCTGTGTGATGTTATCAGTCAGCATTTTCAGACCAAACTTGAAGGCAATTGGTGCTAAAATTGCATCATCTGCTTATCATCTCATTGTGTAATTCAAACACAACCACATCCTTACATTTTTTTTTATCCCTGTCAACTTACTTGATCAACAAGGCATGTAGTGATGGTCTTGCCATCCTATTGCTTTCTGTGAAAAAGCTATTCTCTCCTGGCATTGACCCGTGGGTCTGGCTTGAAATGTGACTTGCAGTGCTATAGTGGGAGGTAATCTTTCTTATTTGCAAAAACCTTGCAAAATTTCAAAAAATTAAAAACCCAGAGAGAAACCCTGAGAAGTATATCTCACCTGTAACAGATGTGCTGAATGAAAATCTCTGTCTCTTATGATCCTTGCATGATCTCTCCTCCTAGACCTCCTCCTTTTTAATGCACAGGTGGTGTGCATCTTCTGGGATTTTCAATACTTATTTTTTAATTTTTTTATTTTACATATTTATATTTTATTTACAATATTTACAATTTATTATTTACAAGCACCAGTATTTATTTGTTGCACTTAGCAAAAGTAGTAACTAATAAACTTAACATTAACAATTGGCCTAATTAAATGGTGTTTTCTTGTCATGCACACAGGATGGATTCCATCGTGGGCTCGCGATCGAGAAGCAGGACTTCGAAGAATTTAGTCTGGACAGCCTGGACCCACTGCGCAACTGAGAGAGACCCCAAGTCCCTATCTACTCCTAATCCCTCTCCAGTGCTGATGTGATCTTGCTAGAGAAAGAGAGTGCGCCATATTATTTTTCTATTCCATCGGTCCATCTAGACATTTTGCATCCCTGTTTGCAGCAATGCATCGTGAAATTGTGTACCATATTCCTCCTCCATTCACGCTCGGTATCTGGAGCGCCAATATGCATGTGATGAACTGCCACATCTTGTCGGTGGATCCGTTTATCCGTTTCTTCCTTCTCTTTTTAACCCATTCCCTTTCTTTATGAATTCCAATTTTATTTTTTCATGCTAGTTCTTTGTTTTTTTGAGAGAGAGCATCTTTAGCTTTTATGGTGCCTGCATTCATCTGAATACAGATAATTGCTGAAGATGTTTCTTATTCTTTGCATAACTTGCACTCATGGGAACTTGTTGAGGAATCGAATGAAATGTTAACAGAAGTGGAGCCCTATATCAAAGTGATTTATATACTATATGCAGAATCTTTGGAAAATACAAGTTGAATGTTGAGTTCAGGATTAACCCTGAATTTTGCACTTTCTCTTAAAAGGACATTTTTACAGTTGGACTATTGTGTTTGTGCTAGAGGTGGAAAACAAACCTTGAGGCAACTATGAGTTGTCGTTGGTATAGTCCTGTAACCGAGCAAGAAAGAGTTCAGTTGAAACTGTCTTTTGGATACGACGAAACCTTCCGTGAACCAGCCTATTGTTAGAACTTTCTGTACAGAAAAGTTCTCAGATGTGATTGTTGGACCGAACGCGAACAAACGAGTTTCATCTGCGAATGATGATAAAACGACAAAATATGCGAAAGTGGCAGTGAAATTCGGATCAAAGCCGGTTCGGTGACCGAGCTCTTGAGGCTTCCGACCGAAACCCAGGAGGCGCGGATCGAGTCCGTGCGGCAGCGAGCCTATCGCTAGCAGGCGACTCGCGTGCCGATTTCGAGCCCTGGAAGCCCGTGAGCGTCCTAATGCTTCCTGCTGGATCGATCGGGGGCATCTTTGCACGAGGAGCCGTGATGGAATGATGCCTGTGTTTCGCAGGACCTCATTGTCTGCATCCGTTGTCGTGTCCCGTTTCACTTCCGGTCTCACCAGTGTTCCCATACATATGCCCTACCGTAGGATGGGCGATGCCCGCGAACCGGCATCGAGGTAATGGTTGCCGGATGACGAATTCTAAGAACCCGAAACCTCTCGCTCTTCAAAGTGCGTGAGGGGCACGAGACCGATCGTCTTCCGTTGGAATTTCCTTTATTTTAACGCGATTACGTAAAATTCTGCAAACTAAAAGCAATTTTTGCTGAAATCTGTCAGTTTCATCACCCAGAGCGATTGCCGGCACCAGGAGCTTCACACCCGAAGCCTCTTTAAAAAAGACCTCGAGCTACGTCCGACGAGAAGCCCCGAATTGCCCTTGAAGCCCTTGCTTTTGGGGCCATGACCCCACTCGAATCTTCCACTGGCGTGCAGAAGGATTTTTCACCTTCGCAATAATTACACGAAGCGCTTTTCGTCCGACAGAAACCGGAACGCAAGAGTGGCCCCTGGGAATTGTGAAGCGGAAGCTTTCGGCAACCCTGACCCGAAGGAGAGCAGACGCCATGCGGGTTCCCGGTGGCGGCCATGGTGGGAGTGCGGGCGTGTGGCCGTCCGGCGTCTTCGCCAAGCCCGACGGTCGCCGGGTTACTTACGTGAGTTTCATCTGGCTTTTCGTGAAGAAGTTTGGGAAGTTGCACCCTGTAGGTGGCAAGAATGTCGTCCGTGAGTCGTTGATCGGTGTATGGCAGTTACGCTGGCAGCAGAGGAAGTGTGTTCCCATTCGAAGGCGTCGGGTGGGAGTCTCTCGTAAATTTTTCACTAAGAACGGAGATATACAGACCTCTTCTTTCCTCATATGCGGGTTCGATTTTCTCCGCTCGATCGCGCACGATGGGAAGACGGAAACGGTACGCCCTGAACCGAAGGCTTTTTTCACGACTAATGAGCCCTTTCGGCCGAGGCTCCTTTGACTCGATTCATTCCGACCCGTCGGCTCCGCATTGCATCGTCTTCCCATTTACAGTAGGTGATGAAAATCCTCTCGCCTACTTTTTTCCGCTACGCCTATGGTGCAATAAAATGCAGAACGTTGAAATCTCTATTATTATTTTCCTTCCGTGAGTGGCTTCCGAGTCTCTTCAAGTTCTCCTGCCTTCGTGCGTACTCCCGCCTATATCGCTTTCCTTCCCGCCCTTCCTCCTCCTTTCTGCCTCCTTCCTCCTTCCTTCCCTCCCTCCCTCCCTGCGAACGGAGCGTGTGACCCACTCCGTCGTAAAATGTTTCCCTCCTGCATCGGAAACCACGACGGTCGGTTGCCTCTGCCCTCTTTTCCTTTCACGTGACTCCGGCTCAAGTTTCCATCGGATGCTAGCGTTCGTATTAAACCGGATCTAACCATAACCCAGTATTTTCGCCATTCCGCCGGTTAAAAAAGCAACCGTGCCGAAAAATCCTGACAGACTTCGAAGTCGGTCGAACGGTTTGTTTGTTTGTTTGTTTGTTTTTTTAAGCGTTCCCCCCTCCCCCCCTCTTTTCAGTCATTTCGTTAGGCGTGTAATTCGGACTGCATTTGTGATCGGGTGTTTCGCAGGTGTTCGAATTTGGCTTCCTCATTTTGTCGCCCGAATAGTCCATGTTTTGAGAAAAGGGTGAATATGCAATTTTGACCTTTTTCGGAAGTGTGCGAATCCGCCATATTTTTTTTTTAGACAAAAGACACTAGTTAACCTTCTCACCACGGCGCTCTGCTTTCTTGTGCGAGGGCAAATACTCAATTATCAAATTTTCTGTCCTCGAAATTCCCAAATTTGTGTATTCGCCCTTTTGCCAGATCATGGACAATACGTAATGGACAATGCCGTTCTCCGTTAGGTGTGTGGCATACTTCGTATCGACCACCTGTGAATCCCAAGCGGAACATGATCCTAGTTTCACACGACGATCTGCAACACCTGTGAAAGCCAGACATAACACTTCTCATTCGAGGCCCGTAGTAGAAACCTGCGATCAGAATTTATTTATTTTTTATTTTTTATTTGTAAGCCCGCCAGCATACAAATGAAATATTCTCGTGAAGCGTGAATCAGCGCTTTATTCAAGGAGTTCGAGTCGAAGCATGCTTCATCAAGGTGGCCTTCAGAGCGTTTTTCTTCGCCGTTGACTTTCCGTGACCTTGCCTGACCTCGGCTCCGATCCCCGTCAGCGAGATGCGAGTTTCATTTTCCTCTTCGTCTCGTCATCTTCGCTCACGATGAAAAACATTTTTTTTTTTTACTTTTTCATATCCGGCGGCAATTATTTTAAAAGCTTCCATCCTCTTGTTTATCTACTTACGTTCACTTTCCGTGACGCAGTTAAGGTTTCGCGTGTCCTTCGTAGGGGCAGGGAACTTCTCTTTTAAGTGTACCTGCAATCGTGGAGAAACCAGGAATTAACACTCCCCCTAGCCGGTGACGCGGGGCGGATTGCATAAAACTGACTTGTAGCGTAATGGAGCATTAAACCTCCTTTAGCGCCGCTAAACGAGGTTTAAATCGCACTAAAGTCAGTTTCATGCAATCCACCCGCGGTTGAAAGGAGGTCACCGACTAGGGCAGCGGTTCTCAAACTTTTTACGCTGAGCTCCCCCCCCCCCCTTGTGACCCTGGCTCGGTGTCGCGCCCCCTTTCTCTCTGAGAGGAGTACCTAGAAATTACGATTCGTTTTCTGTTTTTTTCAATCATCGCATGAATGAAGCATCCGTGGAGTAATTTCAACGTTTCAGGGACCCGGGTCACAGCTAGGAAACGGAATGTCATTCACGTAATTTCATGAGAACGACGCTCGCATGTTTCCAGGCCCACAATTGATCGAATGGTCGACGGTGACAATAACAACGCAAATCTCATTTTCAACGACTTGGCAGAGAAATGTCTTCGGAAATTTTGCTCTGCCCCGGGAACCCAGCTCTTCTGCGTCATTGAGTTTCTTCGAGTATTTATTTAAGCAGAACGAGTGCAAGAACGCTACATTCCATCGAGCATTCAAGTTACAGCCCGAAGGGACGCACGATTCATTGGTCATCTTCATTCGAATCGTAGTAAACCGCCGATGGAAATTTACACCACTTGAAAAATGGAATCGAATTTGAAAGCCTGCCCCCTTGAATAGCTCTCATTTAGTCTTGTACTCCTGGAGAAAGTGCCAGAGAGACCTGAAGGAATGTGACCTTTTTACATTTAAAAAAGTTAGATGAATAAAACATTCCATAATGTTTTTTTTTTTTAAATTGCACATTGTAGTAGATAATAAAAAAGTTATTGGACAAGGGGGAAAGTGAGAGAGATTTTTCTGGATGCCTCGTCGGGTTGTTTGGGTCATCGATTGTTACAAAATATCCTCATTGTTTGCACGTGGTGTTCCTTCCTCGAGAGTTGTCTGGCTTGAAATTCTACGCGAAGACTTCCAAAGTAAATACACGAGGACCTCGTGTTCTGGTTTGCTACGAGTCCCAGTCTCTCACGATTTCCCAAAACTCGGTCTAACGTCACGCAACGAGACGATAGAAGCGATGATTGCCGAGGTCGATCCCTCGTTTCGAGTCGGCGTCGAGTCACATCCGGATTCGTGTCGGCCTGTGGGTGGTTCGTCGTCTGTGCTGACGGTCGAAGAGACCTGGGCAAATGCAGTCCGATGGTTCGTTTCCGAAGCACCCGTCGACGATAGCGGAACCGTGAAATCGACCGTGACCGAACCTCGACCGGCCCGTGACTCCACACATATTTGGAGCGAAGCCGTTCGTCTCTTCTCACGATGAGAAGGCGGAAACCGGAAAGAAACGGTGGAATTCCGCGTTCGATCCGCACGGGGAGACTTGGGAGGACTCTTCTCGGTCGGGGCCTTGCGGGGTTCTCTGGCCCCTCCAGTGGGGGAGACGGGGAATTTGCTTGGGCGAGTTCTTTCGTTTTGCTTTGTTCTGTTGTCAGATTTGGGTGTGAGTCTCTCGAACGAAACGATTATCGTTATTTACTACCGCCTGGACACGTTGGCCGCCGTTCTCTTATATGGCCGATATATCCCAATGGCACGTCGTATGTCACCGACGAATATTGATTACCACATGTGCTTTGATCAATAAAAACCATATTTAATCATACCATTACTTGTTACCGACCACGACACACAGGTGGAGCTTTGTATTATGATGCATGGCAGCCGATGTCTTAAATTGCTCACCGCTTCTCGTTCTTCACATCTTCAGTAAAATCCCATTTGAAGCATGGCACGTTTCATATGGTTAAAAATGCGCAAGTAATTTTTTTGTTAACTAAAGCATTTTCCAGTATTTGGAAAACAAGACAGGAATAGAATGCGATCCATTTTATTCATAAATAATTTTTCATTGATTATTCATTTCTGTGAAGCTCAAATGATAAAATTGTACTTCCATGTTACGAAAGCGGCGAAAATAATCACATTTCCTCTTGCCTTCCAGGATGCGGCGG